GGCAGCGCTGCCAATCTCTCGCCCTCCCCTCCTCCCCTCTTGGCCTCGTGAAGGAGGGAGGAGAGGCGAAAGAGAAGGAGGGAAGGAGGGAGGGAGGAACAAAGGAAGGAAGGAGCAAAGGAAAGAAAGGAGGAAGCACAGAAGAAAGGAACGGACGAAAGAAGGAAGGAAGGAAGGAGATGGGAATGAGAAGGAGGGAAGGGAGGAGAAAGGGAGGAACGAAGGAAGGAAGGAGCAAAGGAAAGAAAGGAGGAAGCAAAGAAGGAAGGAACAAAGGAAGGAAGGAAGGAAGGAAGGAGATGGGAATGAGAAGGAGGGAAGGGAGGGTGGGTGGGTGGATGCTGGTTTGAGGGGAATCCTGCCTTAGGACTTGGCCACCAGCAGCCCTGTGACCCTCTGGCCGTCCTTTTGCCCCCACCTCCTGGCCTCTCCATGTGGTCTCCCATCCTATCCCTGAGGATGCTCTGCGTACACAGACGGCTCTCCTCGCATGGGGAGGGACTCTGCCTTCTGCTGTCCCATATCCCTTGGCTCTAAGGCCAGGGGTGGGCAGGGGCTACGGAGCTTGGCTCAACACTCCTTGCTCAGAACCTTGGGGGTCCAGTGAAACGGAGGTGGGGGTCTCCTTGTTATAATCCCCATCGCTCAGATCCTGCATCTGTGGAACTGCCTTGAACCCACAAGATGGACGGCAGATACGTTTGGTAATATTAATTGGGTGCCAGACTTAACAATTGTCAACAAGAAAGGGAGAAAGAGGAAAGAAAGGGAGAGGAAAGAAAGGAGGAGGGAGATGAGAGGAAAGAAAGAAGGAGAAAGAGAAAAGAGGGAGAAAGAGGAAAGAGAAAGGGAGAAAGAGAGAAAAGAGAAAGGGAGATGAAAGAAAGGGGGAGGGAGAGGGGGAGAAAGGAAAGAAAGAGAAAGAAGGAGAAAAAGAGGAAAGAAAGGAAGAAAGAGAGGAAAGAGAGAAAGGAAAGAAAGAGAAAGAGGGAGAAAGAGAGAAAAGAGAAAGGGAGAGGAAAGAAAGGGGGAGGGAGAGGAGGAGAGA